AGTCTGACACATTAGCCCAAAATGCCACACCAGGACTCTGAAACTAAAAGTGGGGAGTAGTTAGTCTTTCATTTCAGGAACAGAGGACCCCAGGACCTCAAGATGGAAGAGCATGAGTGGAGCATGGGATTCTAACCAGAAAAGCAGTAAGAGCAGAGATGGAGGCAGAAGCAATGGAATACAGAGATAAAGCAGCTGAGGACTCTAGGCCTAGGGACTGAAAAAGGCTGTGTACCTATGGGCAGGAGGCTAGGTTGCAAAAGGGCTCTTTGGACACTTAATTATACATTTTCTGTGTGGTATGTGTACATAAAAAATAAGGGAATTGAGATTAATACTGTAAACTGATGGTGCATGGAGAGAGTTGTAATCATTGCAATGAAACAAAATACAATTTTTGGAATGTAAAACTGATGATCTGCTCTGTAAAGTTTAACTCAATTCACAATAAAGAGCTTTAAAACACACACAATACATGGTCAAGATATTGTCTTTTATCAAACATGGATTTTAAGGATTAATATGCCAAGAAAAATAGATAGCAAGGTAAAAAATTTCACTAGAAACCCAAAATCTGTTTTTTAAAGAAATGAAATGAAAACTTTAGAAATGAAAAATACAGTAACAAAATTAAAACTCAGTAGATGGCTTTAGCAGAAAATTATACACAGATTAAGAGTGACTTAGCATGCTAGAAGGTAGGTCAAAAGGGTCTCTAATGACTCAAGCACAGAGACCAAAAGGATGAGCAAATAGAACAAGCAGAAGAAATGGGTGAGAGAAGGTAGGAAGGTTGAACATCCTTGTGAATGGAGTCCTAGCCTGTGAAGAAACAGAAAAAGAGAGAGATGCCAAAGTAATATTTGAAGAAATGTTGTCATTGTTAGGTGCCACCGAGTCAGTACCGACTCATAGTGACCTTGTGCACAACACAATGAAACACTGCCTGATCCTGGGCCAACTTCACTACTGTTGTCATGCTTGAGTCCACTGAAGCTGCCACTTGGCCAATCCATCTCATTGGGCCAATCCATCCTACCAAACATGATATCCTGCTTCAGTGACTGGTCCCTCCTGACAATATATCCAAAGTATGAGAGATGAAGTTTGGCCATCCTGGCCTCCAAGGAGCACTCTGGCTGCACTTCTTCCAAAACGGATCTATTGGTTCTTTTGGCAGTCCATGGCACTTTCAATATTCTCCTCCAACACCATAACTCAAAAGCATCAATTCTTCTACTGTCTTCCTTATTCACTGTCCAGCTTTTGCATGCATATGAGGTTATTGAAAATAGTGGCCAACATTTTTAGAAAACTGATGAAGAATATTGCTTTAGATTGAATTGTGTCCCTAAAAGGATGTGCTGCAAATCCTAACCCCTATAATTCTGATCCATTCCCATTTGAGAATTTTTGTTGTTAAGTGCCATTGAGTCAATTTTGACTCCTAGTGACCCTGTATAGGGTTTCCAAGAAGCAGCTAGTGGATCTGAACTTCTGACTTTGTTGTTTGCAGTCCAGTGCTGATCCTACAGCACGACACCAGGATTAGGATTTTCTTTATTATATTAATTAGGTCATATCAGTGTAGGGTGGAGTCCTGGTGTGGCGATGTGGGCTAAGTCACTGGACTACAAGGTCAGTTTGAACCGCAAGGTCAGTGGTTCAAGCTCACCAGTCGCTCCTAGGAAACCCTATAAAGGGTCACTATGGGTCAGAACTGACTTGATGATACTTAGTAACAACATTAGTGTAGGGTGTATCTTAAGTCAATCACATTCAAGATATAAAGTGAGCAGATTAGGCAGAGAAAAGCAAACAAAGACGGAGGCAGATGGATGCCAGGTCACATGAAAATCCCCAAGGATGATGGTGGTGATGGTGGCAGTGATGGTGGTGATGGTGGTGGTGATGGCAACAGTGGTGGTGGTGATGGTGGTGATGGTGTGATGATGGTGTTGATGGTGGTGTTGATGGTAGTGGTGATGGTGATGGTAATGGTGGTGGTATGCCATGGAGTCAGTTCCAACTCATAGCAAGCGATCCTGCACAGGGGTTTCCAAAGCTGTAAATCTACACAGGAGCAGAAAGTCTTATCTTTCGCCCATAAAACAGCTGATAGTTTTGCACTGCTAACCTTGAGGTTAGCAGCCTGACTCAGCTACCAAAGTTCCTGAAAAGAGACAGCGACACTTCCCCAGAGCCATTAGAGAGTGAAAATCTCCCACTAGAGCCTGTTTTCTGAATTAGGGCTTCTAGCCTCCTAACAAATAGAAAGTAAATTTTTGTTTGTTAAAGCCACACATTCACTTGAAAGATTTCTGTTATAGCAGAACAGATAACAAAGACAGGCATAAAACTGCCAATGACAAAATTGCTATGAACCGCAAGCATATAGATAAATGTTGAGAAAATTAAAGCACAGTGGCACTGTGGTTCTTATACACTTGACTTCTTCTGTAAAGGTGGACATTTCTAAGTATATGTACCTTCAGAAATTTTTCAAGAGTCAAAGAACCATCCTCTAGTAACCATCAAGCTTTATGGAATTGATTTTCCCTCCCTTCCTGTTAGCTTTTATTGACTCTATAAGGTCTAACTGGCACATCAGCTCCTAACATCATACCTTCAGTCAAAACTGGAATGGAACAGAGAGAGAGTACACAGGTCTCACTGAACCAACTGTCATACACCCTGTTGTCCTACCTCTTCTTCACCAAGGACTTCCTCAAATTGAACAAGTATTTCCATGAGTCAGAACAGACTTGAGAGCAAATTGGTTTTTTTAATGCCCCTAGTTCCTAATTAAGGAGCTCTGGTAGCACAGTGGTTACGAATTGGGCTGCGAACCACAAGGTCAGCAGTTCGAAACTACCAGCTGTTCCGTGGGAGAAAGATGAGGCTTTCTGCTCCCGTGAAGATTTACAGCCTTGGAAACTCTGTACAGGGTCGCTATGAGTCAGAACTGACTCCATGGCACATAACCACCACCACCAATAATTCTAATGCAAACACTTGCTTGCCAGTCAAGATTCAGGTTGAGATCATGTCATTAGTCAAATCTATTCCAACTCCTACCAAATTTCTAAAGGAGACACCTGCTTTAGTTAGTACTTCTCATCCTGCAGTGGTTGTCAGTTGACTTCTCGTCTACATCTCTGCAGCCTACAACTGTTTACAAGAACACTGTCCTATCAATGCATATCACAAAGCTGAATACTGAGCACAAAGTAATCTCAAAAAAGTTCACACATACACACACTCTATCTGCAAAAATAAACAATCTGTTTGAAAATATTTTTGTAACTATACTTCTACAGAGACACATTTTTTTTAAGTTTAGACATGAATTCGTATTAGACCTAAAGACGCTAAATAAAGTGATAAATAACATGAGAAAACAAAACTCCAGAACAGAAAAAATACATGAAAAAGAGATTACTCTTTTTTTTGGCCATCCTGGCCTCCAAGGAGCACTCTGGCTGCACTTCTTCCAGAATGGATCTATTGGTTCTTTTGGCAGTCCATGGCACTTTCAATATTCTCCTCAGGAAAAGTAATTATGTTTACAGTTTGCTTTGAAGATAGAGTCATTCTTTAAGATATTGATGGTGTAAAGTGAATGCTGTTATTAAGTGCTGTCGAGTTGATTCTGACCACAGCGACCCTGTATAGGGTTTCCAAGGAGCAGTGATGGGTTTGAACCACCAACTGTGTGGTTAGCAGTCCAATGCTTATCCTACAGAGCCACATCAGAACTCAATGAATACTGTAATTCATTTTGCCTTTTTTGCCATTTTACCCACTTTTCTTTAGTCTATAAATGATGAATGATCTGTCATTTTTTATTATAATTATTATTATTTTTTTTTTTGGTAATTTATAATTTTATGTCTGTAGAGTAGTGGTTATGAGTCAGGCTGCTAATCTCAAGGTCAGCAGGTTGAAACTGCCAGCAACTCTGCAGGAAACGGATGAGGCTTTCTGCTCCAGTAAAGATTTACAGCCTCCGAAACCCTATACAGGGTTACTGTGAGTCAGAACTGACTCCACGGCACATAACCAACCAACCAACCAACCATGCAAATTTTATACCGTCAAAATAAAGATGAACATTTTTTTAAAAGCTGGCAATGGAAAGAAATGATTTTGCTACTAATTTTGGAGGCATTATTTCCACCCACAGAACACTGTAATGAAAAATGACATTTTGGCAATTCCTTATCTCCAACCTCCCACAATCTCAGGGGCCAATGTGCAGGCGGGACCACAGAGAAGGCACCTCATGGATAGGAATTCCCTTGAGTCATCCAGGACCTCTGTGTTGTTCTTGGAATCTTCCCCCAAATCCACACAGGGAGGAAAACTGACACAAAGTTTTCACATGCATGTATTCCAGCACAGCCACATCCATACTAACTAACCACTTTCTTACAAGAAAGGATTTCTTTATATTGAAATAGTTATTTCTTGAGATCGTTTCGCTTGCATGTCTGTTGAAATACCCCACTCAGAGAAATCAAATGTGTGATTCCATGTACAGACTTCTGTAAAAAAGACAGCTGATTTACAGGCAGAGCTCAGACAGAGTGACCTGGGTAACCTCTGACCTTCTCATGGGAAACAATGGAATATAGATCGCTTGGCTTTTGTTAAAAAGGAACAAAAGGTCCAAAAGCTGTCATATACATTCAACTCTTATATGCAAAAGATCAAATACAGCCAATGAATGCAAATTTGCAAACAATCCCCCAAAGATTACTTTGAGTTATAATTATATGGGTGAAAGAGGAAAAACTATTTCTTAATCATGATACCAAATGTCTTACTTCTTAGATTTTTATCATTTTCAGCATTTCAAGCATCATCAAGTGTCCCAGATTAAAGGAATCAATTTTGAGTTCTAGACCAGCATGGTAAATCTCAGATGAAAATTTCTCAATGAGCACAGTAACAAGAAGGGCACAGTCACCAGATCAGAAAATAAAATCGCTTCTTACCATGTTTATCGATGACACAGGCCCAATGCTGTTAACATAAATGTCAACGTCTATTACAGTTGGCTTTACTGTGGAGAAAAACACAGCAAATATCTGGAGTTAATATCTGATGCCAGAGGAGAAAAGAGCAATATTAAACTTCCTAATGATTCATGTATTAAAAAAACATCAAAGGGATGTTTGAAAAACATGGGGTTTTCTTTAGGACTTGTCCTGTAGCTACAATTCAAAGTCTACCTGTATTACCTTTTACATTTTTCAGTGAAAAGAAAGAATCTTAGTTATTTTTAATATTAATTTCTAGGAACAAAAGGTATTTCGACACTACAAATTGCCAGTTGTTATTGTTAGCTGCCGTCAAACCAGTTCTGAACCACTATCCTTGTGGTTCAAACCAATCTTTTTGTCCAGCGCATTAACCCACAGTGCCACACAAGTTGCCAGTAATAGGTGAATATAAGAAGATGAGTCAAAAATTAATCACATTTTGGTTATATCAAAACATCCATCCATGCTCATGGTTGATGACAACATTGAGCATGCATGTGAAATGATTCTGTTGAATAGACAAGTGATTATATGGCAAATAATTTGCAAATCAGCCATGGCTCTGCCTATGAAATAATCCACAACAGATTTGGAATTCAAAAAGTTTGTGCGAGATAGGTGCCCAAATAACTCATGGAAGAGCATCCACAGAAGTGTTAGAATAGCTGCAAACAAAATTTGGACTGATACTTGAAGGAAGATAAAAGTTTCTTTAAAAGAATTGTTACTGGTAATGAGACATGGATTCATCACAATGAGCCTGAGAGTAAATGGCAGAGTATAGAATGGAAACATCCTCAATCTTTGGCAAGAAAAAGTTCAAAAATCAACCATCAGCTGGAAAACTGATGTTTACAGTTTTCTGGGATTCTCAAGGGCCAGTATTGGAGCACTCTCAGAAAAAGGTTCAACAAACAACAGTGCTCCTTACAGTGAGATGCTCACTGAAGAGCTGAAGCCTAAGCTTTGGATTAAACACAGAAGACTGCTATCCAAGGGCATTGTGATCTTGCATGACGATGCACATCCACACATCTCTGCACACACTGATGACACTGCAAAAACATAGTCCAGAGGTGTTAAAGGATCCTCCCTATAGTCCTGATCTTGTTCTATCAGACTTTCACCTATTTGGTCCCCTGAAATCAGCCGTTCAAGGACAAAGATTCATCTCTGATGAAGGAGTGAAGACAGTAGTCCATTTGTGGCTTGCAGCTCAGCCTAAAACATTTTTAATAAAGGAATACAAAAGCATGTTGACAGATGGACAAAGTGTATTGAAAAGCAAAGAGATTATGTTGAAAAATGATGTATTTGTCTTTTTTACAAGTTGACTAAAATAAATTCTACAGTCAGAGTGCACATAATATTTGACTCACCCACATACAATATTCTTGAAGATTAGCTAAGCTGAATAGATGGCTAAGCTACAAAATAAAGTATAGGACAATAAACAATTTAATTTCAAAGTTTTACTATGAAATCATATGCAAGATTCTGGGAAGATAAGTCAAAAGGTCAGCAGTTTGAATCTACCAGTATTTCCAAGGGAGAAAGATGAGGATTTGTGATTCTGTAAAGATGGACAGCTTTGGAAATTCTATACAAGGTTGCTATGTGTCAGAACCAATTCAGTGGCATACCACCACCACCATGAGTTGCATCCGGTAGGAAAAATGTTTATCAAACTATCCATGTTTATCATTGGCTGCTATGAATTGAGGAAGCAACTCTAGTACAGGAACCTGCTTGTCTATGAACCATACCACCTTCCTATGCAGAAAGCTTCTTCACAAAACTCAATAAGGCAGAACTCAGTGGGGTTTTATTCAAAGCATGCCAACCCTTCTCCATCTGGTTGCTTTGAATCCAACAAAAGACTTCCTGCAATAGAGTCAATGTTCCCACAGCCAGAAATCTGCCTGTCAGCCTGTGTACCCCTTAACTGAGGGCCCTAAAATCATCAGGAAAGATCTCCCCAGGGGTCAATCAAGGTCTGTCTGCCCCCTACTCTCCAGTGATGCTGGGAACTGCTAACTGACCTTGGAAGTGGGTATCTTGGGTGAAGTTTGCACCCACATACAATATACTACCAGTAGGTTTCGGAAATTAACAAAGCAGACCACCCTGGCAGTCTATTGTAAGTGTGCAAGTCCCGTCCCACCTAGTGCCTGTTGACTGCCAGACTGCTGTGAAATGAAAACAAAGTTCCCACGCAGTGGAGTACACTCCCACAGCCAGCACTCTGCCAGTTTGCACCAAGTGGATTTCCCATAGCTCAGGCATCTGGCATTCACAGAACAGATTTTCCTGGGAGTCTGTTTAGACCTGTCTCCTATCCCTTCTGGTCAGTACTGAGAACTGCTGACTGAGGCTACTGTGAACTCACAAGTGATCACCTTGAGTGGAGCTTCCACCTACAGCCAATATTACTACCTGTGGGCATCTAATATCAATGATATTATTCTCTGGGGATTCTTTCAGAGAAAAGCAAACTTCATCTCATATTAACATATGGCTGCTGGAATGATAAACAAGAGAGACCTCCTTTGGTGTTCCTTCAGAGAAAAGCAACCTATATCTCACCTGTTAACATTTGGCTGCTGAGCTGCTATAAACTGTTACTGCTGTTAGGAGATAGGTCTCTTACATGGAATCTGCTCCCCCAACCAATACATGTCAACCAATGTTTGTAAATCAACAAGACAGATTTCTCTTGAGGTTGGTCTGAAGAACTGTTAACCCCTCTTCCTCTTCACTGCATGCCAGTATAGATGTAAATGGCAACATCCAGTCCCATAGAAGACTCACTGGTTGCAGAAACAGGGAGTAACGACTAGATAGTGAAGAACGTACTCCCTGGTAGATACACTGATCTGTTTGTGCTCCCTGTTGTGTTTAAGAAACACTGAAAGTTGAAAATTGAGATAGGGAACTTTCAAATCTAATTTGGAATTTGGAGAAAGAAGAAGCTATCACAAGAAAGTGATAAGCAAGGTCCAAAGACTCTGCTTACTTATTCCTGAAGAAAGAAGAATAGGCAAAAATGCCAAATACTGGGGAGAAATGAGAAAGTTATCACCTTGAAAAATTTCAATGCCCCTCCAAAATCACAGGTATATAGAAATAGGAGAAATGCTGGCCCATTCAAATGAACAAGACCAAAGGAAGGAAATTCCATCTATAGAAGCCCAGATTACAAATAGAAGAAAATGATGCAATATGATACAACATAAACAAAGAACTATAGAAAGCACAAAGATCTAGAATAAATAAGAAAACCAATGCTTAAAAAAACAAGGATTAAGAACAAAAGAGAGGGTAAAAAGAAACCAAACAAAAATGTTGTACATGATAGAGACAATAACTGAAATGAGAAACACAATGGAAGGATTTAATAACAGATTTGATCAGGCAGAAAGAAAGATCACTGAACTAAGGATGTTGTTGTTTACCACTGAGTCAGTTCTGATTTATAGTGGTCCACCTTAGGCTTTCCGGGTTTATACATCTCTAGGGGCAGTTGTTCAAACAGAACAAGGGAACACTGAATGGATTAAAATTAGGAAACGTGTGTGCCAGGGTTGTATTCTTTCACCATACTAATTTAATCTGCATGCTGAGCAAATAATCTGAGAATCTGGATTATATGAAGAAAAATGTGGCATCAGGATTGGAGGAAGACACATGAACAACTTGTAATATACAGATGATACAACCTTGCTTGCTGAAAGTGAAGAGGGCTTCAAATACTTACTGAAAAAGATCTCAAAGACCACAGGCTTCAGTATGGATTGTACCTCAATATAAAGAAAACAAAACCCCTCACCACTGGACCAGTAAATAACATCCATATAAATGGAGAAAAGATTGAAATTGTCAAAGACTTCATTTTTATAAGATCAACCATCAACACTCAAGGAAAACAGCAGTCAACGAAATCTAATGACATATTGCATTGGGCAAATCGGCTGTGCAAGATCTCTTTAAAGTGTTGAAGAGCAAAGATGTCAGTTCGAGATGTAAGGTGCACCTGATCCAAGCCATGGTATTTTCATTAGCCTCAGATGCATATGAAAGTTGGGCAGTGAATAAGGAAGACTGTAGAAGAATTAATGCATTTGAAATATGGTATTGGAGAATATTTAAAGTACCATGGACTGCCAAAAGAACAATAAAGTCCGTATTGGAAGAAATATAGCCAAAATGGTCATTAGAAGCCAGGATGGACAGACTTCATCTCTCATATTTCAGGCATATTATCAGTAGGGACAAGTCCCTTGAAAAGAATATCATGTTTGGTAAAGTGGAGGGTTGGAGAAAGAGAGGAAGACCCATCAATGAGATGAATCAGCACAGTGGCAGCAGCAATGGACTCAAATGTATCAAAGATTATGAGGTTGGTGCTAGACAAGGCAGTGTTTTATTCTGTTGTGCATAGGGTCATTAGAGTCAGTACCGACTCAATGATACCTAACAACAACAATAACATCTCTATGGGAGCAGAGTGTCTCATCTTTCTCCCTTAGTGGATTCAAACCACTAGCCACGTGGTTAACAGCCAATGCTTAACCCATTGTGCCACCAGGGCTCTGAATTCAATTATAAGATAATAAAAATTACAGACACTGTAAATCAACAAAAATGGAGATACAAGAATGCTGGGTACAGTTTAATGGAATTATGGGACATCAATAAACCTAATATATGCATCATGGAAATTTCACAAGGAGTTAACAAAAAGTAAAGGACAGAAAGAATATTTGAAAAACTGATGATGAAAAATTATCTCAAATTAACTTTAAAAAGCTTCAAGGACAAACCCAAAAGATACCTACACTAGCACACTTCATATTCAGTCTCTCAAAAACTAAAGGTAAAGTGAAAATCCTAAAGGCAGTGAGACACAAGCAAACAGTCACATGTAAAGGATTCCCCAGTTAGATTACGTGATCATTGCTCCTCAAAAGCTATGATGAACAGAAATGATTTTTGTTCATCATATAAAGTATATTGAAAT